TGTTTAGTCTGGAGAAGAGGAGGCTGAGGGGAGACCTGATCGCCCTCTACAACTGCCTGACAGGAGGCTGTAGCGAGGTGGGGGTCGGCCTCTTCCCCCTGGTAAAGGGCGATAGGACGAGGGGGAATGGCCTCAAGTTGAGCCAGGGCAGGTTTAGATGGGACATTAGGAAAAATTTCTTCATGGAAAGGGTTGTCAAGCGTTGGAATGGGCTGCCCAGCGAAGTGGTTGAGTCCCCATCCCTGGAGGTATTTAAAGACGGGTGGACGAGGTGCTTTGGGACATGGTTTAGTGGTGGGACGGCAGGGTTAGGTTAACGTTTGGACTTGATGTTCTTAAAGGTCTTCTCCAACCTAAGCAATTCTATCATTTGCCTGGCCACTGCCACCGCCCTGGGGCCTCGAGTTCCAGCTGTGAGGGACAGACTGTGCTCCGTTCAGTTCATATGCTTCACCAGGTTGGGGTTTTTTATTGCAAATTATTTACTCAATGCTATTTGAAGGACACGAAATAACGTGGGTTTAGGGGGTTTTTTTTTGCCTTGTGGGATTTAAAACCAGGAATTGATGTGCCCCCTTTAGCCTTAGCATGGCTCCTCTCAAGTGGTCTTTCCAGTTCTTGGCATGTGTTTTTGGGAGAAAGGGGCTGCTCATTTAAGAAATACGAGAAAAGTGGTGCCATAGCAGTCTGCTAATTGGGATTCTCAAAGGGGGTGGGTAGTGGACAGCTTGATGCAGGGTGATGCTGTGCTGAGTGCAGTCACAAATCATGCCCAGACAGCAGCAGCACAGAGGCTCCACGCTGGCTCCGCCGCCACACCAACACCTTGGTAACTGCTGTGAAAGGAGGTTTACCAGAAAGACCAAAATTCCTCATTTCAAATTCAGCACTGTCAACGGAGTTCAGAAAAGGCTTGAGCAGTCTGTGAACATTAAACCATGTTGATCTACAGGGGACTCTATTGAGATAAAAAAGATATTTCATTTATCTGTATTGAGCACATAGACTGGCTGATTGGATAGGTAATGACTAGCTGACACCCACAGCCTGGGTAATAAGGCAGAGAAGCCTGCAGAGTCGCGTCTGGCTACAAGGCATGGCTGGGTAAGGGGGTGGGGGGTAGCACGGATTCAAGAAAACTGCAAATTCTGAGGAGAAGAGACCAACCACAAATTACGCATGACAAAAAACTTGGCATGAAAGACAACAAACCTATCCGTGGATCCATACTCTCAACTTCTGAATTAAGAATTTAGGGCAAACTGAATACACACTGCTATGGGAGTTCAGAGGCATCAAAATTAAAATCCTAAGGCTTAAGTTATCAGCATCCTGTATAAAAATGGTCAAAGAGCCCAATGTTCAAATTTTAGAGAAAAATATTGTTGATGCTCTTGTTTGTTGGTACAGTAAGTTCTAGAACACATAAGATAATTATTGGTCCTGCATACTGTCTGGCAGCCACTGAAGCAATAGTGCCACATTATCATTAAAGCCATATGTCAAATACCTGGAAGGTGTTAGTGAGTCACTGTAAGGTTTAGATAGTAATATTTCATTCAAATAAGTTAATTCAAACCACACAGAGTCTCGAGAGAGATGTAATCACTGACCAAAAAAAGGAAAGTTGGACAAAAGGAGTATCTCTTGAATAAAGTTCAAGAGATACTCCTTTTAAAACATCTCTTGAATATAGTTCAAGAGATGTTTTAAAATGAACAAATACCACAGAATTTAGAAAGCTTCACTGGTATGAAGCTAACAAGTAACAGGAAACAAACTACAAAAGCAAACCTTTTATGCGTTGGAAAATACAAATGTGCCAAACAGCTACCTCTGAAAGAATCATTGTATTGTCATGATAAAAGTGAACAATAAAAACATGACCAAACTAAATTTCAGAAAATGTTTTTCAGCAGTGTTCACTGACGAGGTGCAATTCCTATACCAGACCTGTTATTTTTTGGTAAGATGAAGAAAGTGGTCTCCAAGACTAGGAAGCAGACAAATTTTAAAAACTGCAGTAACACTTCCATGTCTCATGATCTAAAAATATAATTGAAGGCAGATTGTCCGCAGTTTACAAGGAAAATAAATTGGCCTAATAGGCTATTACTTCACTTTATAAAGTCCTACTTCACTTTGGGTGATGCATATTTAAAAGTTTAGGAAAAGTTTAAGAATAGCTTAACTGAAATATTAAAGGATCCACTCTCTGGTTTAAAGTAAGTCGGGAGGTTTACAGTGTAGAAAATACCTGTTCTTTTAAAAAACCTTTTAGAAAAAAACATGAGAAATTATAAGACTGTAAATCTAATATCTGTAGGGGAAAAAGTAATTAAAAACCGTAACACCTAGAAAAGCATGATCTGAACGTGTCTAACCAGCCCTAGTCTTCTGTGAAGATAATTATGTCTCAATAATCTCTTACAGAATTGTCTAAGAGGTAATGAATATATAAGAGCTGGCAGGCATAATTTAGACTTTAAAGGGTTTGGCCAAGTGGCATAACATAGAGCTCAGCAGAAACCGGAGTCCTCATTGTAAACTTGCATGCCCACGCTGTTTCTGCCACTCTGTAGAAAGAAATGCATAGCACCTGATGATAAAATTTAAAAATAGTCCAAGAGACTTTTGACACAGAAGGCTATTAAGGAAAAAAAAATCCTACGTCAGGGATAAAATATCAATATGGACATAACACAGCTCTCCATTTCTGTGAAGGGCAAAAGTTTAATGATAGATCACCTCAATACTCTGTTTTGATATTGATTTGCAGGAGTTAGTAAACTGTGGTACTATTTCACCAGTTATATGCTAGTTAAGCCTGTAGTTCATATGAATATCTGAAATGCCTCCTTCTGCTCTGATAGTCTCTGAGTTTGGGACTCTGCTGAATCATTTATTTATGAACTGAAAAAAGGAACAAGTCAAAACCCAACAAATATTAAGAGGACATACAGTTAGGGTCAATCAGGATCAGAATGAGAGCAAGAACTCAAAAGTAAATGAACAGGAAAACATGGTACCAGCAAATATAATAAAATTGGATAAATGCAGGGAAATGGGAAGTATGAACATTATAATGGGGTTTACAGGATTCATACGGTTTCTTATAATGATGATTTGTCATATGAGGATGTGATCACAGAAGTCAAGCCAATAGGATAAATAAGACACAGAATAATAAGAATATTTAAGTAGAGTGCTATAAAGCTGAGAAATCACAGAATGGTTGGGGTTGGAAGTGACCTCTGGAGATCACCTAGTCCAACCCCCCTGCTAAAGCCAGTGCACCTAGAGCAGGTTGCACAGGACACCATCCAGGAGGGTTTTGAGTATCTCCAAAGAAGGAGACTCTACAATCACTGTGGGCAGTCTGGTCCAGTGCCGTCACCCTCAAAGCAAAGAAGTTTTTCCTCATATTCAGATGGAACTTCTGTGTTTCGGTTTGTGCCTGTTACCCCTTATCCTGTGGCTGGACACCACTGAAAAGAGTCTGGCCCCATCCTCCTGACACCAGCCCTTAAGATACTTGCAAACGTTGATAAGATTCCCTCTCAGTCTCCTCTTCTCCAGGCTAAACAGACGCAGCTCTCTCAGCTTCCCCTGATAAGAGAGATGCACCTGTCCCCTAATCATCTTCGTAGCCCTCCACTGGGGTCTCTCCAGTAGTTCCTTGTCTTTCTTGAACTGGGGAGCCCAGAACTGGACACGCTTCTCCAGATGTGCCCTAACCAGGGCAGATGAGAGGGGGAG